GGTGGCACAGATGGGGTGGCAGGGGTTGAGTAAAATATCTGAACCAGGGAGAGGGCAGACGCATCTTACGGGGCAAGAGAGAGACTGTGGCAAGACCTAGGGAAGGAGGACGGTGTAACAATATGGCAGACTGATCAACATTCCCAGCACAAAGTTGAAAGGGGGTGAGAAGGCCAGCGTGAACTGCGGAGCGTTCTCATGAAAGCCGCTAAAAAGGGCACATCGTACCACATTTAATTAAGCAAGTAAAAAATGGTGACGTGATAGGAGGATATAATAAATGTGAATAGGCCAAAGCAGAAGGGGAGATACCATAACTGTTTAGCAAACGTTTGGTCAAAGGATCGGCTTCACTTGTCTCTTTGACGAGTTGTAATATGGTGCGTACTGAATGGTAAATTCACTAACGATGCCGACTAGGATGCCGGCGAAACTTCTGGGAATGTACCACGTCTACGGTCCGACTTTGGAAATGCTTATGCATATAATGGACTCAGGACAAGGTGCTTTCCTCTAAGTCTTCCTACCAATATGATCAAGTTGCGAAAACAAGGTCAAACAACTTCTATACAACGAAAGGAGACTGTGACCACACAAAAGGTCATACCTTCGATTAACATTTTATGATTATATGACTTAAAAATTAAATAAATCTTTTCATTATATCTTATGGCTTATAAATTTTGGACACAGTTCAAAGAATATTTTAGATATACTCTATTACTTCAATCGACTTTACTTTGCCCTGTCCTAGAAGCCGCATATTTGAGTCGTAACGAATGCTGAGGTTGGTGATGTTGTTTAGGTTTTTTACATATGAGATGTGTTCACTCTATTTCGTTTAAGGTTATGAAGGACGGGTAGTTGAATTACCCTTCAAAGATATGAGTAAACCTTACATTTCCATTAAAATTCACATAGCCTCGCCTTCCCAAAAGGTATTTTTATTCAGAGTGGACTACAATTTCTACCTCGCCTAAGTCTTATCAACACCCTTGGACCGTGATAGTGCAGCATATCATCACGACACATTACCCACTACGTCACACGGCAGCGAGTGCTTTTAGGTCATAAGACAGATGTGAAGGAAGGCCACGCATTTTCTCATATCGAATTCTATCGTGGGACTCTGGATGAAGCAAAGCGATATTTGCTATAGCAATCGACTACATATTTTATTTTTCGTTTATATTTAGCTTTTCGAGGCAATCAATGTATTAGATATATGAGATGTGTTTACTCTATTTCGCTTGAGGACTGATAGTTGAATTTGCTCACTGATATGATTAGGCCTTCCTCAACATTCACGTCTGCCCTGTGACCTGAGAACACTTGTGACAGTTTGCGTAGTTGTTAATGTGTCGAGATTATGTGGCACTATTACAGTTCGAGTCCCACTGTTCGAAACTGTACTTTTAAAAAAATGAAAAATGGGTTTCTTTGTGCCTAGGGATTTTTTATCCTTTGAAAAGATATTTTATTATTGATATTAGCTTAAAAACTGACGTAAATGGTTGACATATTACATGAGTTGGCCCCTCTGAACAGGTATCGTGTCTGAGGTAAGCAGCATTTCTAGCCCTTCTGATTTAAATTTGCCGACCCAAAGGATAGCATAGGAACTCTAAAGATTTTTAAAAATAAGAGGGTGTACTTTTGTCAAATACATATAGTCTTTATCCAAATAATACTTATAAATTTTAGTCCCGATTTATATTTTGCTCTAATGCCACTACTCCTGTACAGGCCTATAATTCATATATCTGTAAGCCGCATTATATTTTGAAATCTTTCGTTATACTTATATTTATGTGCATAATGCTTTTAAACTTCATTGAGATGATATTAATGAGGACCTAAATTATTCGGGGTAAATTTAGATTATTCGAATATTCTAAATTTATTCTCTGTACTCTCCATTATCATCATAACTATGTATCTGTCCTTGCCTATACTTTTCCAGAGATGTCTGCGTTGGTGTTTTACCAGTTTAGGCCGTTTTGTGCCTTCTGTACTGGTCTGTCTCGCCACTGCCTTCATTAATCTTACAACTATGTGTCCCGGGCTTGCATCACCACCTGGCCTGGCAATTGCAGATAAGCAGAACTCATCTTCGCCCTTATCAACGGCTTTGAGAGTAGGCCTCAATGACAGCAATTATAAAATTGGCGATATTCTGCAGTTCTTAGGTGTGGGCTATCTTATTCGCTGCCTTCAGCCGGGCCTAGCCGCATTGTGGTTCCTTCCAAGTCCCTTAAATGGATCACATTTTATCGCTGGACGCAAGAATGTTTTTACTTGCTCTCTTAGGCAAGTAACGACACATTTTTCGTTTTTTGTTTCCTTTTTTCCTTACCTTTAGGCTAAATGATGTCATTTGTCATTTTACTATCTCTTAAACCGAAATGTCTTAGTATAACTTTTTGGTTGTTTGAAAAAAAATATCCTAATTCATAGAGGATTACTCTATTTATCCTGGGCTTCTTGGGTACAGCTTTGATCTTTTAAAATCGCTTTTTTGGCGCATATTTCATTATCAGAGTTCCCAGTTATTGACATTGTACAAGCTACATTGATTTGGCTCTTTCTGATAAAACAGTTTTCTCTCTAAAAAACCAAGGCAAGGGGCTTTTCTATTTTATTAATGTGCTAACCTAAAGTCGTCCAACTATTTTTTACTTTTGTTCTTGTTTAACTTTTATACCCACATATTGAATAAGATGTTTCTTGCCCTCTCGAATTTAGGTGAAGAAAATTCTATGCTACCATTCTCTAGTATATGTAAATAGATTTCTAATTCTGTTCTTTCCTTTATAGAGCTAAGATCATATTATAAGCTAATTAAGTCCACTTTTATTAAAATAGTTTAGCTAAATATTGCGCACATGCATAGGCAATTATTTATCTTAAACTTTGTCTCATCTAGAAATTATTTAACCTTGTTTTTGCAACTTGGTCATATTGGCAGGAAGACCTAGAGGAACGCACCTAGTCTGGAGTCCATAGTATGCATGAACATTTCCAGTCGAATCATGGACTTGGTATATTCCTAGACGTTTCAGTGGTATAGTAGTCGGCATCATCAGCGAGTTTTGCCATTCTCAGCAGCCATTCTCAAAGAGACAAGTGAAATCAATCCCTTGACCAAATTTTCGTTGTTTTGTCCTGGTCCCTCTATCCATTTCTTATATTTTAGTCTTGCCTTCGTCCTATCACAACTTCTGACATGTTTATATTACACAAGAGATGTGCTTTTTTAACGAATTTACCGTGGTGTCATTGCATCTGTTTGCCTTGCTCCCCTCCCTTTCAAGTGGCTGATCCTGCTCTAGTCTCCTGTCTGGATATGCCTCTGGCTTGTAGATCCGTTTCTTATTTTTCTGGTTGACCGATTTCATTCGGTTCCAGCCCCAGTGTACTTTTACTCCCAGCGCTATTTCTCAAGCCTTCAGTAGCACGTACAAAGTCGCCTCACCTGCAGAGCAACTAGGCTCCGATTCACATGCTTGCATATATTAGGCATTACCTTCATGCATCATCTCCTAGATTAAACCCATGTACCCTAAGAAAACTGTGGGCATCTATCTCTGGTCACCTGCTGTATCCCAAGTGGATTATTAATCAATTTGGTCATAATGCCCAATTCCTGTGACTCAATCCCTCTCCCTAGTCACGTGAAATTTCAGGCCACCATAGTTTTAATTGTTTACAGCAACGAAAGGAGACCGCGACTATACAAAAAGCCACACCATCCTGTTATTCATACATTCGATGTGTCTCATCTATTTTGCGAGGAAACATCAGCTTTACTGGTTTGCACTGTGCTGGCCGATTTCTGATTAAACTTGCTATCTGTCTTGAGCCATGCTCTAATATGTTGGTTCTATCTCTTTTCTACATGCGAAGTCTTGGTTCAGGTTTTGCTCACTTACTCTCGATTGTTTCATCTGGTTCTGTTCCTTGAGTTAGTCTGTATGAAGTTATTCTACCTCATCCACAATTTTCGTATCTGGCCCTGTGGATTGCCACTTCTACATGGAAATTACGGATAGACACATTGATTGGCGCTAAAACCTATCCACTTCATCCTCAGTATGATGCTTTTGTAGTTGTAGCTAAACCTTGTGACTTTCTTTTCAATCCCTTCCTCTAAATGTCTTTGTTAGCTTGGATAATATTTATTCCCAGACGCACACTTAGAATCACAACATCAAACATTTATCATTACTTAAGATAGTGTTCTAGGTTGAGTAAGCTACAATATTTTTATTTTTTAAAGTTAGTGTTTTGAGACTACCAGTAACTCAGACATGATATATTTTCACTCTATTTCGTTTAAGGTGATGATGGACTGGTGGTTGCATTTTCCCATAATAATATGAGTAGACCTTACGTTTCCATTGAATTTCACATAGTCTTACTTCCCAAAAGGTGTTATCCTCCGAGGACTGCATTTTTTGCTCATTCATGTCTTATCAACTTCCATAGCGGGACTTCAACCATGACATTGCAGCATATAATCTCGACACGTTAACCACTACGCCACAATGCGACGAATGACCTTGGATCACAGGGGATCACAGATATTCGATTCATTGAAGGCCAGGCATTTTCCAATATCATTCTCTGGTGGGATTGTCGATGAAGCAAACTTATATTTGCTTGAATGATTCACTTTTAGTTTTTTTTATTTTGTAAGTAGGTTTTTGAGACTGATTAATAAGATACATCAAATGTTTTCATTATATTTTGTTTAAAGTGATGAAGGACTGGTAATTGAATTTTCCCACAATGATAGTAGATCAGCCCTTCACCAACTTATGTAACCTTAGCTGAATAAAATTCTTCTCAATATCACTGTTAGCTTCGAATTATACTTGCCATAGTCAAGTTAATCAAATTCTAGTTGTTACTAGGCCATAGACCTTGTCACAATTTTCTAGTAGTTTGCTTCCTGCCAAATAACTATATATCATTGCCTAGCTCATATGCTATCTGCATAATTAATGTCGACTTTCTATGAGCCTTGACAAATAGTTTGTAATATTCGACGTTTTTAGCATCAATATCATATAGGCTAGTTACAAATTTAACACAGATTTAAAATAAACATTTTTTCCCTATTAAAAATTATATGTACTTTTTTCACTCCTCTTCCAGCAATTCTGGCGGTCCCAATCTCCATAATTCATCATCAGGCCATCTCAACCTTTCAGCTTGCCTATTATCTGGAAGAATTCTACCTATCTTCGTAGACATTCTGCAAGAAGCCGTTTTCTTTCAATTTACTGCATACCTAAGTATGCCTTAGCTCAATTTAAAATTGTTATTCTATTATTTAACGCTGCCTGATATGGGCCAGCTTCCAATTAGAGAGTTGTCCCAGTTGCTTCTTAATTTTTGAATCGTTATCGGGCTTGACTTCCACTGAGCTGCAAAAACTAATTTTTCTTATGGCCCTAACTCACGGAATATATCCGCTCCACTCATATGCATATTATCCTTTTTTGTCTGAGTATTCTCTCCTATTCCATTTGTGAGTGTTTAGTCTATATTTTCTCAGTTTCCCACATTTTTGTCACAGTAACGTGATATTTGATTTCGTTGGCCGACAACATCTTGGGCATATACCATCGACGATAAAATAATAAAGAGGCTGTTTCTGAGGCAAAGGATGATGCAAAGCACTAAAGATAATTTAAGTTTAAGGGATGGGGGCATATTATGTGATTTAATAAATAACCAGTCGAGCACCTAAATCACTATCTCCATGTTGTTTCACACTTTCCTTATCAATTGGTTCTTATTTGGGCTTAAAATACATCTTTATCAGGACGAACCTAATGATTCTATAAGAGTGGTTTGATCTCGTTTGCGCAATTTGGCCATATAGTCAGGGAGACCTAGATGA